GGATGGGGCAGGATGATGTATGAGGGGGGGATGGGGGATGGAGGGTGATGTGATGTATGAGGGGGGATGGGGGAGGGTGATGTATGAATGGGGGATGGGGGAGGGGAGGTGATGTATGAGGGGGGATAGGGGATGGTTGATGTATGAGGGGGGAATGGGGGAGGGTGATGTATGAGGGGGGGATGGGGGGAGGGTGATGTATGATGTATGGGGGATGGGGGAGGGTTGATGTATGGGGGGGTGGGGGAGGGATGTTAAGGGGGGGAGGGTGGGAGTGATGTATGATGGGGGATGGGGATGGGGGAGGGTGATGTATTAGGGGGGATGGGATAGATGGGGGAGGTGATGTATGAGGGGGGGGGGGTGATGGGTAAGGGTGATTTGTAGGGTGGGGGGATGATGGGATTGGGATGGTGGATGTTTTAGGGGAGGTGGTGGATGTATGAGGGGGGGTTGGGGAGGGTGGATGTTTGAGGGGGGGATTTTGTTGGTGGGGATGTATGGAAGGGGGGGGGTTTGGGAGGTGTTGGGGGTGGGGGGGGGGGGGATGATGTATATGAAAGGGATGGATTGTGGGGGGGAGGGTGATTATGTTTATGGATGGGGGGGGGAGGGTGAGGGTGTTTAGTATGGAGGGGGGGAATGTGGGTGTTGGTGATGGGGGATGGGGGGTTGGGGGGGGTGTGTATGTTAGGGGGGGGGGTGGGGGGGTATGTAAGTAGGGTTTGGGATGTATGAGGTGTTGGAGTGGGGGTTGATGTATGTTCGGGGGGTTGAGATAATGGGTGTTGTATGAGGGGGATTAGGGGATTGGTATGAGGGGGTTGGGGGAGGGTGTGTATGAGGGGGGGGGTGGGGATGGGATGGTGATGTATGATGGGTGGGGATGGGTTTGGGGAGGGTGATGTATGGTATGGGGGATTTGGGAAGTGGGTGTTGGGTGGGGGTGGTGGTGGGGGGTGATGTATGATGGGGATGGATGGGGATTGGGGGGGGGGATGGGTGATGTATGGTAGGGGGGGATGGGGATGGGGAGGGTGGGGTTATATGAGGGGGGGTGGGGGAGGGTTTGGATGTTGTATGGGAGTGTATGGGTGGGGGGGGGGGGTGATGGGTTTGGGGATGGGGGATGTATGAGGGGGGGTATAAGGGGGAAGGATGTAAAGTGGGGGGGATTTGGGGGGGATTTGGGGGGGTAAAGTGGAGGGGGATGGGGGATGGGTTAGGGGGATGATTTAGATTGGGGGGGGGGTTGGGGGTTAAGGGTGGGGATGGTATTTGGGGGGGGATGGGGGGGGAGTGATGTATGTATTGTGTGGGGGGGGGGGGGGGGATGTTTGGAGGGGGAAAGTAGAGGGGAATATGTTGGGGGGGGGGGGGGGGGAATGGATTAGGGAGGGGGTGATGATATGGGGGGGGGGTATGGGTGATGTTTATGAGGGGGGGGGGGATTTGGGGGGGGAGGGTTGTTATTAGGGGGGATGGAGGAGGGTGATGTTTTGGGGGGGGGGTGGGGGGATGGGATGTATGAGGGGGGGAGGGTAGGTGGGTGGAATGAGGGGGGGGGATGGGGGGGGAGGGATGTATGGGGGGGGGGGGGGAGGGGATGTATGATGGGGGGATGGGGAAGGGGGGGGTGGATTTTTGTGGGATAGGGGGGGTGGGGGGGGGAGGGTATGATGTATGGGGGGGGGATGGGGGATTGGTGTATGGAGGTGATGTATGGGAGGGTTGTATGGGGGATGGGGGTTTTTGGGGGGGAATATGGTTGGTAGGTGATGGGGGGGGGGGGATGGGTGATTTGTATGAGGGGGGGGGGGGGGGGTGGTATATGTTGATGGGAGGGGGGGAGGGGGGGATGTATGATTTAGGGGATGGGGTTGAAGAGGGTGATGTATGGGGGGGGATGGGGGGAGGTTGATGGGTTGGGGGGGGGTGGATGGGGAATGGGGGGGGTGATGATTGGGGGGGGTAATTGTGTTGGGAGGGGGAGGGGATGTATGGGGGGGGTATGGGGGGGGGGGATGGATGTAGGGGGGGATTGGATGGGGGGGTGGGATGGGGGGGAGGGGGAATGGGAATGGGTATGGGATGGGGAGGGTTATGGGGGGGGGATGATATTGGGGGGGATTGAGGAGGGGGGGGTGATTGGGATTGAAGGGGTGGGGATTTAGGGTTTGATGTATGGTAATGGGGGAGGGTTGGGTGGGGGGGGGGAGTGGGGGGGGTGGGGGTGAAGAGGGTGAGGGGGAAGATGAATGTGGGGTGATGTGGATGAGGGGGTTGGGGATGGGGGGATTGTGTTGGGGTAAAAGGGGGATATGTTGATATTGAGGGGGGAGGTTTGTTTGGTAGGGGGGGGGTGGGGGAGGGTTATGAGGGGGATGGGGGTAGAGGGGGATGTATGATGGGGGATTAATTGATGTATGATGGGGAGGATGGGGGAGGGTTGTTGGATAGGTGGGATGGGGGATAAGGGATGTATGATGGGGGGATGGGGGATTAGAGATGGGATGATAAGAAGGGGGGGGATGGGGGGAGGGGGATGTATGAGGGGGGATTGATGGGGGGGGGGGATGTATGAATGTAAGTGGGGATGGGGGTAGGGGGGATGTATGGAGGGGGGATGGGGGGATTAGGATGTATGAGGGGGGGGAAATTGGGAGGGGGGATGTATGAGGGTATGGGGGAGGGGGATGTATGAGGTTGAGATGGGGGGGGGGGTGGATGTATGAGGGGGGGGATGGGGGGGGGGGGATGTATGAGGGGGGATGATTGGGATGGGGGATGTATGAGAGGGGTGGGGGATTATGGGGATGTATGGGGGGGATGGGGAGGGGGAGGAGTATGAGGGGGAAGATGATGGGGGGGGGGGGTATTGGGAATGAGGGGGGGGATTTATGGAAGGGGGATGTATTGGGGGGATGGGGGAGGGGATGTATGGAGGGGGGATGGTGGAGGAGGATGAATATGGAAGGGGGATGGGGGAAGGGGATGTATGGGGGGGATGGGGGGGGGGTGTATGAGGGGGGGGGGATGGGGGAAAGGTGGGGATGTATGTGGAGGGGGATGGGGGAGGGGGGGGTGTATGAGGGGGGATGGGGGAGGGGGGTGGTTAAGGGGGGATGGGGGAGGGGGATTGTGAGGGGGGGGATTGGGAAGGATGAATGATGGGAATAGGGGGATGGGGGAAGGGGGTATGAAAGGGGGATGGATGGTGATTATTTGGGGGGAGGGGGAGGGGGATGTATGGGGGGGATGGGGGGGATTATGAATTGGGGGATGGGGGAAAGGGGATTAGGGGAGGGGGATTATGGGGAAGGTGATGTATGAGGGGGGATGGGGGGTTATGTGTATGGGTGGGGGGGGATGGGATGGTTGGGGGATGTATGAGGAGGGGTTTTGATGGGGGGGATGGGGGAGGGGGATGTATGAGGGGGGATGGGATGAGGGGGGATTGTATGAGGGGGGATGGGGGAGGGGGATGTATGAAAGGGGGGATGGGGGATGGGGATGGGTGATGTATGATTGGGGGATGATGTATGATGGGGGGGGGGGGGAAAAGGATGTATGGATGGGGGATGGGGGATATGATGTATGGGGGGATGAAGGGGATGGGATGTTGGAATGGGGATGAATGTGGAGTGGGGGGGGGGGGGGATTGGAGAGGGGGGAATGGGGGGGGGGGGGGATGTATGGGTTAGGGAGGTATGTGTTGGGGGAATGGGATGGGGGGAGGGGGGGGGGTGTATGAGGGGATTGGGATTATGGATGGGGAAAGGAAAGATGTTGAGGGGGGATGGGGGAGGGGGGGTATGAGGGGGGAATGGGGGATGGTGATGTAGGAAAGGGGATTGGGGGAGGGGGATGTATGAGGGGGGGATTTGAGGGGGGGGGGGGATGTATGAGGGGGGATGTGGGGAAAGGTGATGTATGGGGGGGAGGGGGGAGGGGGATTTATTGTTAGGGGGGATGGGGGAGGGGATGGTATGAGGGGGGGGGATGGGGGGGGGGATGTATGGAGGGGGGGATTGGGGGAGGGGGATGTATGGGGGGGGGGGGGGAAATGGGGATTATGAGGGGGGGGGGGGGGGGGGGGGGGGGATGGGTATGAGGGGGGATGTATGGGGGGGAAAGGGGGATTATTGGAGGGATGTATGAGGGGGATTGGGGGGATGGTGGTATGAGGGGGGGATGGGGGGGGGGATGTTTGAGGGGGGATGGGGGAGGGGGTGTTATGAGGGGGGGGGAATGGGGGATGGGGAAAGGTGATGTATGAGGGGGGATGGGGGAGGGGGGTGTATGAGGGGGGTTATGTATGGGGGATGGTGATGTATGAGGGGGGATGGGGGAAAGGGTGTATGAGGGGGGATGGGGAAAGGTGATGTATGAGGGGGGATGGGGGATTGGGGGGGGATGTATGTGAATGAGGGGGGATGGGGAAAGGTGATGTGATGAGGGGGGGGGGGGAAAGGGATGTATGAGGGGGGATGGATGGGATGGGAAAGGTGATGTATGAGGGGGGGATGGGGGAGGGGGGTGTATGAGGGGGGGGGGGATGGGGGATGGTGGTGTATGAGGGGGGATGGGGGAGGGGGATGTATGAGGGGGGGTGGGGGAGGGGGATGTATGAGGGGGGATGGGGAAAGGTGATGTATGAGGGGGGATGGGGGAGGGGGATGTATGAGGGGGGATGGGGGAGGGGGATGTATGATGAGGTGGGATGGGGGAGGGGGATGTATGAGGGGGGATTGGGGGAGGGGGATGTATGAGGGGGGGAGGGGGATGTATGAGGGGGGGGAGGGGGATGTATGAGGGGGTGCATTATCAAAAAAACTACATTGTCTGTTATTCTGAGGCCCCCAATTCCAAATACACGATATTGCCAAACATATTGGGCCCAGCCACCATATCATGTGATTCAGGTGTTCCAATCCCCTCCCAATCATGTGATTCAGGTGTTCCAATCCCCTCACAATCATGTGATTCAGGTGTTCCAATCCCCTCCATATCATGTGATTCAGGTGTTCCAATCCCCTCCATATCATGTGATTCAGGTGTTCCAATCCCCTCCATATCATGTGATTCAGGTGTTCCAATCCCCTCCATATCATGTGATTCAGGTATTCCAATCCCCTCCCAATCATGTGATTCAGGTGTTCCAATCCCCTCCCAATCATGTGATTCAGGTGTTCCAATCCCCTCCATATCATGTGATTCAGGTGTTCCAATCCCCTCCATATCATGTGATTCAGGTGTTCCAATCCCCTCCATATCATGTGATTCAGGTGTTCCAATCCCCTCCATATCATGTGATTCAGGTGTTCCAATCCCCTCCCAATCATGTGATTCAGGTGTTCCAATCCCCTCCCAATCATGTGATTCAGGTGTTCCAATCCCCTCCCAATCATGTGATTCAGGTGTTCCAATCCCCTCCATATCATGTGATTCAGGTGTTCCAATCCCCTCCATATCATGTGATTCAGGTGTTCCAATCCCCTCCATATCATGTGATTCAGGTGTTCCAATCCCCTCCATATCATGTGATTCAGGTATTCCAATCCCCTCCCAATCATGTGATTCAGGTGTTACAATCCCCTCCCAATCATGTGATTCAGGTGTTCCAATCCCCTCCATATCATGTGATTCAGGTGTTCCAATCCCCTCCATATCATGTGATTCAGGTGTTCCAATCCCCTCCATATCATGTGATTCAGGTGTTCCAATCCCCTCCATATCATGTGATTCAGGTGTTCCAATCCCCTCCATATCATGTGATTCAGGTGTTCCAATCCCCTCCATATCATGTGATTCAGGTGTTCCAATCCCCTCCATATCATGTGATTCAGGTGTTCCAATCCCCTCCATATCATGTGATTCAGGTGTTCCAATCCCCTCCATGGACACAGGTGTATACAATCAAGCCCCTAGGCATGCAGACGGCTTCTACAAACATTGGTGAAAGAATGGGTCGCTCTCAGGAGCTCAGTGACTCCAAGCGTGGTCCTGTGATAGGTGGCCACCTGGGCAATAAGTCCATCCGTGACATTTCCTGGCTACTAAATATTCCACGCTCAACTGTTAGTGGGATTATAACAAAGTGGAAGCCACTGGGAACAACAGCCACTCAGCCACCAAGTGGTAGGCCCATCTGTTTTCCTTGTTGGAATCAGTGAACAGCGAGATGGGCCCCACAATGGCGGGAACATTCATACTTCAGGTGTACCAGTTGCAATGGTTCTCATTGAACAGACCACGCACGCCATATTTGACCACTGCTAGCACCCCGGTAGAGGGCTTTGTAGGGGGCTAAAGAGGGAAGATGGAGACACAAAAGGACCAAACTCCGGGCCTGACTGTCAAAACAAAGGTCGCTCTTCTCTGACGTTCCTTGTCTAGTTTGTATGTTGGTAAATAATTGCAGTTCCATGCCGGAGCAACACGGCCCTCCGGAGAAGAATGGGAAGAAGGTAACCTTTCACCATGAGCAGGAAACATCTCTGCACCATTATGTCTGATCTGAGGTGGAGAGAATTGGTAGGACCCAGGAACCCAGCACAGAGATATCACCGATGGAGACCCTGAGTGAGAGAAGAAACTCTCTGCTCGTCTATCTCTCCGGAATCTAAACATTAGCGTTGGGAAATGTTACACATCAGGTTATCAGATGTCATTTGTGTCGGTTTGAAAACAACAGGAAACACACAACGTGCATTGCAGAATCTTCTGCCTGACCGAGAACATTGACTTAGTCATTATACATTTTTTTTATTAGAGTACAGATCATAGATACCCCGACTGCAGCAATGTGTCCCCTCCGTGTCCTCCTCCTGTGGGCTCTTCTCTGTCCAGGCAGAGGGATGGAGGAACATTATAAAGAGGTGATAATACAGTATTATTATCAGACAGAGTACAGATCATAGATACCCCGACTGCAGCCATGTGCCCCCTCCGTGTCCTCCTCCTGTGGGCTCTTCTCTGTCCAGGCAGAGGTAGGTAAGAACATTATAAAGAGGTGATAATACAGTAGTATTATCAGAGTACATATCATAGATACCCCAACTGCAGTAATGTGCCCCCTCCGTGTCCTCCTCCTGTGGGCTCTTCTCTGTCCAGGTAGAGGGATGGAGGAACATTATAAAGAGGTGATAATACAGTATTATTATCAGACAGAGTACATATCATAGATACCCGACTGCAGCAATGTGGCCCCTCCGTGTCCTCCTCCTGTGGGCTCTTCTCTGTCCAGGCAGAGGTAGGTAAGAACATTATAAAGAGATGATAATACAGTATTATTATCAGAGTACATATCATAGATACCCCGACTGCAGCAATGTGTCCCCTCCGTGTCCTCCTCCTGTGGGCTCTTCTCTGTCCAGGCACACGGATGGATGGAGGAACATTATAAAGAGGTGATAATACAGTACTATTATCAGACAGAGTACATATCATAGATACCCCGACTGCAGCAATGTGGCCCCTCCGTGTCCTCCTCCTGTGGGCTCTTCTCTGTCTTCTCTGTTTTCTCATTGAGGATCTTTTCTTGTTCAGTTTTATGACACAATGTTGATCAGAACTTCTCCTCGGGGTCCTCTTCACTCCATTTTTTTGGGATCACCTGTGTAGTGCTACTCCCATAGGAGCCACAGGAATACTCCCCATGTTTCCCACAATCTTTTCCCCGCAGCCAGGAACATAGGATTAGTCACATGTTTCTTCTGTAGCACTCCCCCCTTAGGAGTCGCTGAGTTTAGTGTCCCCCTAAAGCTCTGCACAGACGGACAACACACATTTTTCTTCACTTTGCATTCAGTCAGTAGACAGTCCTTGAGCTTGATTTTCTGATATTAATAACAACTTGGATGGGGTCTAGGGGTATATGGGATGCCCAAAGGAACTGTAAATTTGAGGACGTTTCTGCCAACTATGTACAAAATGTGGGTAGAAAAACAGTCTCCCCTTGAAGAGTGCCAAAAAAAACTCTTTAGTGTACCTCCTCAGACCCCAGTTGAATCCTCCTCTTCACCCAGCTGCCTGAGGATGTGCCTGGGCACGGAGGTCCAAAAGCTGTAGACTTAGCACAGTCCCGGAGGAAGTCTAGTTGGGTATTGCACCTAACCCCCATCTCCCCTTATCTGGCTCAGGGGGTTGTAGGAGTATTTACTCTGTCTTTCCCTGTTTGCTTGGTGGGTTGGTGGATGCCTTCAGGCCTTATGCTAGGCTGTCTCCTTCCCTGCTTCACAGGCTGTCCTCCCAAGCAGATGATGAGACAGAGGAGATCTTCTTTTCAAGAATCCTGCCTGCAGGTAGGCTCCCCTTCCCAGGCTCCTCACCCCAGCCTTCCTCTCAGTTCATTCTCCACCCAACACTGCTCTGCTGCACAGGCTCTGCCACTGTTAAGGTTTGCCTTGGCTGCCATGTCCAACCTCCTGCCAGGGGATTGGCCAAGCTCCCTCAGACATGCATGTCTGGGCCTCCTCCCCTCCAGAACGTTCTCTAAGTTTCTGGACTGGTGGGAGGACTCCAGAAGCCCTGAACTGTTAGAGCTGCTCAGCCTGTCCTGAGGTAACCTTACTCTTCAGGCTGACTCATCCCCGGCTGCTGTTCAGCCTCTGTCTAAACACTATCCACCTAACCTGGAGGACGTTACACTTCATTCAATGACCTGTGTAGGGCTGTTTTTGTTGTTTTTTTTGAGAACTTGGATAGGGTTGAGGGAATAGGTAGGAAACTCCAAAAACAAGAACAATGTTCAATTGATGACTTTAGGTATTCTTTCGGGTAGCTATGATGATGTCTGTGCTTGAAACAAAACAGTAGACTTCAGCTTTGAGAGTCAGTAGTAGTAATAGTAGTAGTAGTAGTAGTAGTAGTGGTGGTAGTGGTGGTGGTGGTGGTGGTGGTGGTGGTGGTAGCAAATTAGATCAGAGTCCCTTTAAGTAGGAGCTTAAGTGGACTAAGCTCTTCAGAACACCAGCTGGTGTCCCATTTAGCTGGACCCACAGCTGACTCCTCAGCACCAGAGGGGTTTTCAGTAGCTAACAAGATCCTTTAAGGGTGTCTGTACTCACAAGGCCCATGATAAGCTGGATGCCTTCCTCCATGATACCAGACCAGATCTTCAGTAGATGGTCCCTCAGTCAGCTTTAGCAGAACCCGGGTCTCAGCATTCAGGCCCTCAGGTCACCCACCTGAGGCCTATGACAGTAGATGCTGCAGCATTGCCTGGGAGGGCAGCATGCCCCCTCCAGGCTGGAACAATCCTATACTGGGAAGACCCAGAACTCGTCTAGGCAATCGGAAGCGGAAGTTGTCCTTCCCCCCTCCCTCCCTGTAGTGGGAGACACGTAACATTTCCCAGAAGACTACGGACCATTCACAAAGTGCAGCGCTACTCGCATACGCAGTGGGCACCCAGCTGTGATGCCGCAAGCTGTTACAGCCGGTTTCCCACACTGAAGACGCCGGTGCCGAGGGGTTAGGATGGTTGGTCAACCGGGCCAGAGTGAGGACATCGTGGGATCGAGGGACAGGTAACTGTCCTTTTTTTTAAAAGTCAGCAGCTACAGTTTTTGTGGCTGTCGATTTTTATTTTTTTAAATGCCGACTGGACCTCCGCTTTAGGGTAGGAGATTAAGTGGACAAAACATTTCGGAACACCAGCCGGTGTCCCCTTTAGCTAGACCCGCAACTGACTCCTCAGCACCAGAGGGGTTTAGGTAGCTCACAAGATCCATTAAGAGTGTCTGTACTCACAAGGCCCAGGATCTGCTGGTTACCTTCCTCCATGATACCAGATCAGATCTTCCATAGATGACCCCTCAGTCAGCTTTAGCAGAACCCGGGTCTCGGCATTCAGGCCCTCAGGTCACCCACCTGAGGCCTATGACAGTAGAAGCTGCAGCATTGCTTGGGAGGGCAGCATGTCCCCTCCAGGCTGGAAAAATCCCATACTGGGAAGACCCAGAACTCGCCTAGGCAATCGGAAGCAGTAGTTGTCCTTTCCCCCTCCCTCCCTGTAGTGGGACACGTAACATTTCCCAGAAGACTATGGGACCATTCACAAAGCGCAGTGCTACTCGCGCATGCGCAGTGGGCACCCGGCTGTGAAGCCACAAGCTGTCACAGCCGGGTGCCCAGACTGAAGATGCCAGCGCCGAGGAGGCAGGATGGTCAGTCGACGCGGCCAGTGTGAGGACACCGCAGAATTGAGGGACAGGTGAGTGTCCTTTTTTTAAAAGTCACCAGCTACAGCTTTTGTGGCTGCTGACTTTTATTTTTTTTTAATTCTGACTGGACCTCCCCTTCAGGGTAGGAGATTAAGTGGACAAAACTCTTCGGAACACCAGCGGTGTCCCCTTTAGGTAGACCCACAGCTGACTCCTCAGCACCAGAGGGGTTTCAGTAGCTCACAAGATTCTTTAAGGGATTTTTGGGGGGACCCCCATTCCATTTTTTTATTAATTCTGGCATGGGGGTCCCCCTCAAAATCCATACCAGACCCGAAGGGCTTGGTATGGATGGGGTGGGAGGACCTTACACCATTTTTTTTTGTGGGGTTCCCCTTAAAATCCATACAGGACCCGAAAGGCCTGGTATGGATTGGGGGGGACCCTCACGCTGTTTTTTGATTGCCGACAATGGTTTTTTTTACATTCAGCTGTCAGAGGGGAACCCTGCTGACCGCTGATGACTCATCGTTTGTTACTGTCGGCTTGCTGATCCGCTCCTTAGCAACCAGCTATTCGAATCGGTGGATCAATTTTCAGCCGATTCGAGTTCTAATGTTCTAAATATTAGAAATTCCTTAGGAAACGGATGTCCACAACAGATGTAAAAGATGATGTCCGGATCCGTTTTTCATCCAATTTTC